GAGAGAGAAAGAGAGCGACCTCCACGGCGACAGCAGGCGCGGCGGCGGAGGTGTGCGCGACAGCGCGGCCAGACAAGATCATGTTGTGGACGCCGACCCTCTTAAGACGAAGCCAAGGCGAGGATCAAATCGGGTGAGGATAAATCGGGAATCTCTGAGGTCGGGCGGCCCTGCAAGATGCATCGGGCGCCGCGGCCTTCCCGGAGCGTTCTAGAACGCTCTAAGGGCGGTCCGGAACGCTCTGGAACGGATGTATCCTCGTCCTAGCCCCGCCCGACCTCTGGAAACGCTGCAGGAAGGGCCGGATCCACGGGTGGTACTGGTCTCCCCAGACGAAGGCAGCGTAGGCAAAGAGGCGCCGCTCCCCTTGGAAATCGTACGCCTCTTAGGGGACGAAGAACGGTATAGAACCTTTCCGCCGTCGGGGACGCCTGCCCCCCCGGCGGCTGGAAACACTTATTTTATACCGTTCTTCGCCCGCTAAGCCTTGGCCCCGTCAGCGAGCACGGCCTGCGCGAGGTGCAGGAAGGGTGGCGACGCACGACCTTTCAGCTGGCGCATCACGCTCCAGACCTCCGGCCCAGTCTCCCCGGAAAATTCCCCACCTCGAAACGGTGGCTCGTTCATCAGCTCTTCATCGAAAAAGTCAAGCTCCAGCGGACAGTTGAACTGCGCAGCCAGAATGCCAAACAGATGTGGCAACGGCCACGCAGATCCAACAAACTCGTGGAACGGAACGCGCATCAGATGGTCCAAGAGGCCGTCGGAGTATGTGAAATAGCACTCGGTCTCCGAATTGAAGCACACCATGGCCTTGAGCATAAGCGCCGAGACCCAACCGAGCTTGCAGTCTGGCTCCAACCAATATGAGCCACCAATAGCTTTAGTCCGCTCGATAGACCAGATGTGTTCTTGGAACACCTGGTGCAACATCTTCTTGACACTGGCCTCAGATGGGGCTTGACGGAAGGCCGCGGTGGTCTGCAGAAATCCAGGCCACCACTCTTTGTCATCGCATTGGAGGCTCCTGTCGCTGCGTAGCTGGAACCAGAAAGAAGACGGGTTTTGCAATTGCTCGCCAATGGCCGACTCCACAGTCTGAACTACCCACGGAAGACACCATCCACTGACAGCCAGAACGCTGAATGGGACATCTCGCCGAAACATGTCGTGCATCGCTATCTCACCGACCAAGTCGCACCTCTCTGTGAGCTCAACACCAATGCAGTGATCCATGAAAAATCTGCCACCGTGCTCTCGGCATGGTTTGGCGTGCGAATCCCTATTAGCTGTCTCAGAAACAGAGAAACAACGGCAGAAACATCCAACGTTCCGAGATCCGCGTGGTCTTTTGGGATCGGCGCTTCACCCCCTTTTCAGCGCGCAGAGCGCGCCGGGGGCGCAGCCGAAGGCGCCGCCAGGGGGGGCCCAGCGCCGATCCAAGGAGAATCCGTCCGGAGCTCCGAGAATGAATGGCTGTGCCGGTTCCCTTGACGTCTTGTATTGCGACCGGCATTTTCCAGGGGCGGCCCCCTCCTGGCAGACCCCCTCAAGAGTTATAGCTGAACCTGGGACAGAATTTCATCCCTCAAAAACACGGGACCCTCCGCCAGCCAAAACACTCGGAACATTCGAGGGTGCCCCCCCCAAGATGCACCAACAAAAATACGACGAAGACTTTTCCGTCGGCGGCGAGGCAGAGGTGGCTGCACCCGCGATAGAGCTGGACGGGGGCACCAAAAAGCGACTTGGCCAACACACGACGAACACGACGGACACCAGGGCACCCTCCCCGAACCGACCTCGGTCGTACCCCCCGGCCCGACGGCACCAGACGTCGATGACTTCTTCGCCGCAGCGTGGAGGACCCCGGGGAGGTCTGGACCCCTCCCCCCGGGGGGGCCGCCTCCTCGTCCGAAAATGGAACTTTTTGGGCGGTCCTGGAGCGGGGGGGGGGCAACGATAGGGGCGGGGACAGGCCCAGGGGTCCTCGACCTGGACTCGGCGATGCGTCGCCGATGGATCGGCAATATGCCCTCGATAGCGAACCCCCTCGTTCTTTGACGGTCCTGGGGTGAGGGGCAACGACAGAGGGCGGGACAGGCCCAGGGGGCGAGCGTCGACCTGGGCTCGGCGGTACATCGCCGATAGATCGGCGATGGGCCCTCGAGAGCGAAAATCCCCACGTTCCTCGGCCGGGTGGGGCCAGCCCTTCTCGGCGATCGGTGGGCGATTGGGGGTCGATGCATCCCCCCATTTGCCTACCCCCTCCCGTCGCTGCCCCTGGTGGGGCCGGGCGAGGGCCCCCCCCCAGCAGCCTGCAACCGCCAAAAACCGTCGGTCGCGACTTTTCCGCAACGAGAGGTGGGGGTGCGCGTCGCTCCCCCTCGGCGTAGCTCGTCTATCCCCCGCCCCCCCCCCGCCGTTTTTCGGTTTCGTGCGTGGTTTTTTCGCCAACTGATCAAGGATGCTCCTCGATGCTCTTCGCCGAAGGAAAAATGCACACGTCCGAGCGATGCCAAGGCCATCCACGCCCGGATGGTTATGGCGGCCAGCTGCTGCGTGGCCACAGGTGGTCGCTGAGGGCTCGGGCGATCAGACGCGTTTGCTGTTTTCGACCTTCTCCGCCTCGACGCTGCGCGCGAGGCCGCGACGCCAGAAAAGCGTGTCGCTCCCCAGCCCGGCGCTCTCAGGAGCCACGGGGCGGCCGCAAGACCGCCCCCAGGAAGGCTGTAAGATGTTGCCAGCTCTCGATGCTGCGCCAGCAGTGTGGCGGGGCTTTACCGCAGGCAGCCAGAAATCAGTGTGAGTACGATGGTGCCTATCAGACACTCCTGCAGAGCCGCGCCGTGCACGCCATTGTCAAACACAATGTCTCTCAGCGCTGCCTCTGTCAACTGCGTACTCGGCAGTTCCCGCTTCTGGCCGACACTCGTCTGCAGATCCTGGCGAAACCTATTCCATGGAAACAGAGGGCTACGTCCTACCCTACGCTCAACCTTACGACATTCCCAATCGCTCAGAGCAGCCGCGCGAAAGCTGGGAGCCGCGACAGAAGCGGCAAAGAACACGCTCAAGGCCGGCGCCATGGCTCCATGCTGGAGCAGTCACCCTGCACCCTGGAGCCGCACTGGCGCGCGAGCCTCGAACGGCTTGAGCAAACCTCGAGCCAAAGGCTACTCGTCCCTTCAATTCTTCGCATGCGTCGCTCGATGAAAACACCTACGCTTTCCCCACGGTTAGAAGCTTAGAGGCGGTCGAAGGGTCTGAACTGGATCGACCCCCCGACAGTCGGCAAATCCGCTCAAAATCGATTCCCGGACCCCTCCAAGGGTTAGTTTTTCACTCCGTATCCGTTTCTGGGCATCGCTCGGACGTCCATTCCCTGTTTTTTGCGGTTTTGCGCGTGGTTTTGTCGCCAAATGATCAAGGATGCTCCTCGATGGTCTTCGCCGAAGGCAAAAAATGCGCACGTCCGAGCGATGCCGAAGTTTTTGACAGTCCCGGGGCCCGAACACGGCCCCCGAGGGCCGAAGGAAGCAGAAACCGGATCGAACCCAGGGCATCGCTCCCCTTCCTGCACGCCGGAACCAGTGCTGGGACACCTCAGATGCCTGGCCGGCTCTCACCTCCTCCCACGACGCAGATGATCCGCACAAGTCCCGGATACGAGCCCCGATGCGACGCTGCACCGTTCGTCCCGCGCCCAGGTCTTTGCGACAACAGTCAGGGCTGATTGGAGCGGACACGCGAGAGGACACAGGACCCTTCCGCGGGCCACATTGCCATGGGGATGCAGAAGGCATGGGTCGCGAAGCACAGGACACAAACTTATCCTTGATTTAGAACCTGTTTTTTATTATTCGCGATGACGGGCGTGATGGGGGACGGGGGAGAAATCGTCCCCCCCCCGATCACATCACGGCGGGATGCCGCTGGAAATCTCAGGAAATCATAGAGGAATCCCGTAGGACACCTTTGCAGACGTGGGCAGACTAGCGTGACGTGATCCTGGGGGGGAAGGGAGAGGCCCGATCACGGCCGTCCTCGCCCGAACCTTACAACAAGCAGGCCCTTGGCAGGGTCGACCTACGAATCCGCCTCGACTGTGCCAGAGGTCGCCCCGCCTCGAACGCGCCGCGCCCCGCGCGGCGCTCGACGCGCGCGCGCGACCCCGCGGCGGCCCCCCAGCGCTCGGCGCGCGCGCCAGCGCGGGGCCACCGTGGAGACGTCGGGGGCGCCTAGCGCGATCTGCCGCCGGCCGACGAGAGAACGGCACCTCGCCCTGGGCAGGAGCTGCACGGCCGAGAGCGCGCACTGCGCGAACGGCGCCCATGCACCCCGCCTGTGTCTGGGCCCCCGCTGCAGGCCTCCTCCTCCTCCTCCTCCTCCTCCTCCTCCTCCTCCTCGTCCTCCTCCTCCTCCTCCTCCTCCTCCTCCTCCTCCTCCTCCTCCTCCTCCTATTCCTCCTCCTCCTCCTCCTCCTCCCTCCTCCCTCCCTCCTCCTCTCCCTCTCCCTCCTCCCTCCTCCCTCCTCCTTCTGCCTCCTGCCCCCTCCTCCTCC